TAGGATTCTAAGGATATAATAATGAATGTAAGAAACATTAAAAATGATGTAAGGAATACACAGTCACCATACCAAAAATAATCAGTCACTGTTCAATAAGGCAGCATATGATTAAGAACTAGTGGTGTCTGAGGCAGAAATCCAAACCGACTGAAGGCATCGGTGAAAAACTAGGCTCTAGGAATTGAGAATGCCAATTAAAATATTCCCCAAAACGAATTCAGTGCTGGAAGCACTCACTAGTTGACTGTAAGAGATTCAGATTTCTGCCCATAAGAAAACTACTATGAAAAAATTAAAGAATAAAAGAAAATTGCAATGAACAACGATTGTGGAAGGCAATATGAGAATAGAAACCACACACCATCCAGCAATACTTCTGCTAGGCAAATACCCTCAAGAAATAAAGGACATTACACAAACAGATACACACACTCCCATGTTCATTGCCACACTGTTTACAATAGCCAGAAGTTGGAAACAGTCCAAACGCCCATCAGAAGAATGGATAAAAGACCTTTGGTATATACACCCAATGAATACTATGCACTTCTAAAAAACAAACAAAATGAAATCATGAAGCACCTCACGGCATGGATGGGCCTGGAGAACATTATGTTGAGTAAAGTTAACCAGTCACAAAAGGGCAAATACAGTATGAGACTACTACTATAAGGATAAAAACCAAGACAGAGATTTGCATGGGCGGGAGGGCAAGGGTAAAGAAGATAGAGAAATGGACAGGCAGTTTGACAGATGTCGGCTTGCTTGTAATTGGAACAAGGTCCTCAAGAGGGAGAAGAGAAGCAGAGATCAGTGGGTGGGTGGACAAAATATAGGGCTGAGGGTTGAGTGGTTTGAACTGTGATCCAGATTCCAACACCATTCTTTAGAGATGGAAAGGCTAATTATCAGCTAATTATATGGAAAGGAAAGGGACCCTGGATAAGCAAAGTACTACTAAAGAATAAGAAGCCTCACATTTCTCCATGAAAACACTACAGTAGCCCAAGCAGCCTGGTCCTGGTATAACAACAGTCACACAGACCATGGAGCAGTATTGAGAACCAGAAGGAAATCCTCACATACACAATTGATCTTTGGCAAAAGGCTGAAATACATTAAGTATGGAAGATAATCTTTTTAATAAATAGTGCTGGCAAAATGGGATTCCCAGTTACAGAATGGAACAGAACCCACATCTCACCCTATATTCAAGAGGGTACCTCCCCCAAAACCTGTAATTCCGTTTCAAAGCTATGTATTTACATTTTTCCCCCCAAAACAACCTTATCAGCTTCACAGTACTCTCCATTACACATAATACATTTGTCAAATCTGATACCATTCTTGGAAACATTTCAAACTCATCTGTTTGGATGGCTGACAGCACCTCCCTTTTTTTTCTTCACCCCTTCTATGTCACCAAATTGCTGTCTTTTCATGTCCCTCTTCATTCATGGAAAAAAGCCGCCGCATGGCATGGTCAGGTGAATAAGGTGCATGGGGCAAGAGAGGCATGCTGGGTTTTGCCCCAAATGAGTGCAGAGATGGCTGTGTCAACAGGTGCGTTGTCACGGTGGTGAAACCAGTCCCCATCTGCCACAAATCAGGTCTTTTTTGTCGCACACTGTTACGTAATCTTTTCAGAACCTCAACTAGAAAGCTTGATTACCGTATATACTCGAGTATAAGCCAACTTGAATAACAGCCGAGGCACCCAATTTTACCACAAAAACTGCAGGAAAAATGTGCTGAAAAACTCAGCTTATACAGGAAGTATAAACCGTAACAATCTGACCTGGTGGAACAAACTCCAAATGCACTATCCCCTTGGCATCAAAAAAAACAAACAAATGAGCATCGTCTTGATTCCACTTGACAAGCTTTCCTGGGCGAGGTGACAACGGCGTCTTCCACTGGCGTGGTTGCTGCTTGCTTTCGGGATTGTAAGAGTAGAACCATGTCTCATCACCACTATGACCTGGGAAACCCTGGGCTGCTTTGGAGCTGTTCTTCTGAAGCACGTTTCCACTCGACGGTCTTTTCCCTGGTCAGTCAGAACTCAAGGCACACATTTTGCAGAAACCCTTCTCGTTCCCAAATCTTCCATTAAAATGTGCTGAACCACGTCCTAGGATGGTCCAGATAACCATTTCTTCAACAGTCCGTCATCAGTCTTCCAGCACAAGTGCACGAGTTTTGTCAACATTTTCGTCCGTCCTAGTTGACAGACATCCAAAACAAGGTTTGTCATCAATCAACACTTCATATTCTTTGGAACAAGAAAACCACTCATACACTTGAGTTTTTTTTCCCATAGCAGTTTTTGTAATTTGTATTCAACATCATAACAGTTTCTGTGGCATTTTTTCAGGAAACAAAATTTCACAGCCACACGCTGTTCTCTTAAATTGGCCAGCACAAAAAAAAGGTTCAAGTGAAAACTGCTTTTATGAAAAAATGCACTGTGACCAGAGAGAACCTTCCCAAGTGATGCTACTGGGTGCACTAACTCAGAGCGAGTTGCTCGATGCTTGCCTAGTGTGAAGAAGTTGTACTATGAAAGCTCCATTGTGCGGCGCTTGTCCATTTTTTGGGGTGGGTGGGGGGTAACCTCCTTGTATAAAAGTGAACTCAAGATAGATTAAAGACCAAAATGTGAATCCAGGAACTATAAAGGTCATCGATGAGAAAACAAGAACACACTTAGGGGCCATAATCCATGACAGAAACATACCACTCAACAGAAGGAAAGACACACACCATAAAAGACAAAGCAGAGGACTGGGGCATACTAAAAATTGGACATGTGCTTGGCAATGAAATCTCAGACAAGAGACCGATCTCTAAGATTTATGGAAAACTGCAACCCTCAATAAGAAAACGATTAAATAATTCGATTTAAAAACAGAGGACATGGACAGTTCACCAAAGACAATCAGGCAGTCAACAAACAAACGGGTAAATACAATCACTAGTTACAGTGGCATTGATAGCAAAAACAAACAAACAAGAATGCTGGCAAGGGTGCAGAGAGATCGGAACCCTCGCACACTGTACAACCACTATGGAAAGTGGGATGGCACTTATCGACTGGAATAGAAATACCGTATGACCCAGTTGAGATGGAAAAATTAATCACCAGCTTTATATGGAAAGGATTCCAGATAAAGAAAGTACTGCTAAAGAAGAATGAAACATCATGGGAGTCAAAACAGCCTGGTACTGGTATCCATTTAATGGGCAGAGGACATAGACACTTTATGAAAGACAATTCAGGTAGCCAACAAACTTAGGAAGAAATGCTGTGATTCTAATGAAAACAGTAAGACACAACCTCACTTCAGTATTGACACAAAAGTTCATAGAAGCAGCTAACAACAGATGTTTGGCCAGGCTGTAGCGACTGGACCCTCATACACTGCTGGTGAGACGACAACCGTTCAACCACTACGAGAAAGGTATAGTGCTTCTCAGAAAGTTAGGAATGTCCAATGACTTAGTGACTTTATTGTTTATGAAGACACACATACAAAGCAAAAAACCACAAAAATTTTAATGTTCATCTTTGTTCCATTTTGAATATTTCTGCATATGGAATAAGAGTCCAACTGCATTCATTCACTTGCATGTGGCTATCCACTTGTCCCAGCACCATTTGTTACAAAGACCACACTTCAGCTCATTAAATGGTCTTGACACCATTGTGTGTGGTCTTTTCTGGATCGAGATTCAAACAAAAGAGCTAAATAGTTGTTCAAGATGTGAAAAATACAACAATTAAAGTGAAAAACCCACTGGATAGCTAAAGCGGTTGAAGAGACATGATGAATTGAAAGATACATCAGAATAAATTGAGCCGGTAGCAAAGATTACCACCTTTACCCTCCAAAAAGGAAATGAGAGAAGTCAAGTCCAAAGACATGAGAGAGAGTAGGAAGGTCCACTGCCCACTCGATCCGAGTTCCAAAGGGAAGCATAAGGAGAATGCGGCACGTGCAATGTTGGAAAAAATGATGGCTGCTAAATATTCAGAGCAAAATAAGGTGACTGATCCACAGATCTAAGAATCCCATCTATGCCTAGGCGCATCTTAAGGAAACTAGCAAAAATTATTATTAAAAGCTAGGGAAATTTTTACTTTAAAAAAAGCAATTGGACTACTTACTTCTCAAGACTGATAACAGAAACCAGGAGGCATTGGTACAGTATCTTCAATGTGTTGGAGGAAACTGCCAGTTTAGAATTCTCTTCCAGCATTATCGATCAGTAATGAGGGATATGTGAACACTGACTGGCTATTTGGCAGGAGTAAGGAATTAATATTTTAAATATAAGTGTGGGTGTAATAATGGTACTAAGGTGATCTTTTTAAAGTGTTTTTTTTTTAAGTTTCTATTTTTACGATGCATACCAAGATGTTTATAGATTAAATGCTTGAGATTTACTGTAAAATAATAAACCCTAAATTAGTCATTGTTTCTATGTTTAAAGAGCTCAAGTGGCATAATGGGCTACACTTTAAAGCAGTGTGATACACACAGAGTTCATTATAGTATTGTCTACTTTTGTGTGTGCTTAAGAACTTTATAAAGTTTTTCCCTGACCAAAACTGAGTTCATCACCCCAAGATTTGGACCTAACTTTCTGTTATTGCTTTCATAGTCTCTGGATATTTTGGATCAGAAACTACAGCTTCTCACCAGTATCTTTCCAGGAGGATGATATGATATCAGAATTCAAAGCTCTGCTATTAGGGCAACTCTCTCTAGTTTAAGGAAATGGTGATAAAAGTTGTAGCAATTCATACCTATTAAAAAACTACACGGAGAAATCAGACCCCCTAGTCAGACACAGGGGAAATAACAGGTTATTTCTGAAATGCAAGGTTTGAATGTAATAAACCTCCTGAGTGGGATGCAAAGAACAATAATAGTGAGGTCTTATCAAATCTGCAACAAAATATTAGTATGTCGATGAGGAAATAGACAATAGAGTTCTTTAATTCAGAAATAGTTTAATATAATCAAAGTATAGCTATGGAAGTCAACATTCAATCCACTGAATATATTCAAGATATTAATAAAAATATTATACATCTTTTTTCACTACCATAATATAACTAAAGTATTTGGTATTTTTAGATGAGAATAATTATATTCATTCATATTTGCACTGCTAGTCAAACAGCATGTAAATTAATCTATGTATTAGGATAATAGGACTTCAGTCCTTTTTTAATCTTTAGTATAAGTATCAAAATTGAATGTATCTTTTTTTTTTTTAAATACCACAATACTTGAATTCTATAAAAGAACAGTCAACCAATTTTAGGCAAGATAATGAAATTTTTATACAACTCTAATTTGAAAAAAGATAAAAAGAATACTTTATCCAAGATCATACATGCTTCAACATTCAGATACCTACATATTCAGGTTCATATAAAGACAGTAATAAAAAGTCAGTGCAAGTCTTATATTGGGTTCCTCAGTGAGAACATAATAGGATCTTGGAATAAAACATTATCTTCAAATCCCCAAAAACTGGCAAGAGGAAGGATTCTTCTGGTGCAGGACTTCCATATAGCATGATTCTTTTTACCCAATAAAGACAGTATAAAACAAAGTGATCATACGTAAAAATTAGTGTCACTGCCAGTTTACTTAAACTTTTTTTACTTTAATGCAAGCTTTTAAAAAAGTTTACAAATATTACTGATTTTAAATCCATTGGTAGTAGTGTAAAGAGGCTCCTGTGTCCTTTCTATGTTCTTTGGGTAAGGGCTGAAGATGAGAATTTTACAAAGAATAACTTAGATTACTAAGTATTTGTAAGGTAAGTATGTATGGGGTGTGTGCGCTTGTTTTTTCATGGAGGCACAACAATGGATTAAAATGAGAGAAAATATCACTTGTTCTAAACTCTGGTTAACTGTACATTATTAATTAATCATACTATACATGTTCAAGATAAGATGCCTGATTCTTCTAATAACAAAGTGACATTACATTTTCTAGTTCTATTATCTGAGGTAAAAGACTGCTTGCTGTAAGACTGCAAAAGGCAGTCAGTCCACACTGAGTCCAGTTAGCAATGACCCTTAGACCACGAGAGCACTTTTATTTCCATGGCTGAGTGACAACAGAGGGAATGGAACCCGGTTCAAATGCATTAATAAGCATCATATCTAGTAGGTCTTTACATTTGCAAAGAAACTTACATACATTTACAGAAATATTAACGGCATGTAGAAAAAAGCAAATGAATGGCAATTCTCTGATGTACACACAAATTAACTTATTAAATAGGGAAAAAAGATATAACATGAATTTTTCTATAAATGGACCATTAGTGTTAGGCACCCAAAATTTCAAGTTTCTTTTGTTTGAACTTCTACTGTTACATCTTTAACCATTTTCCTTCTGCTGTGCGCACATCCTCCTTTACATTCCACATGTGCACAGTTCATAAAACGTCTGTACTGGATAATGAATCTGAGGCTGCCCCCATCTCTTGGTGTCGTTCATTACTTATCTGTCAGTTATCTCAGAGCTATTAGATTGCGACCATCTCTAGTGCCATTTACAATGTGTCTGACTTTCTATCCTAGCCACAGGAGTAAATATTGTATGTCTGTATTTATCTATACTAAACACAATTATTTGTGAAGTGGAATGAATAAGTACTGAAAACTAATCTTATTCTTACTGGCTACTACAGAATAGCCTTAATCATAAGCATTATGAGTCTGAATCCTGATATATTAAGGAAAATAATTATTTCATGTACAGTGTTTACAAACTTAACTAAGCCCATTTAAAAGACAAACTTTTCTACAAATGTCTATATTTAAATTCAGTCTGGACCAAAGTATTCTTTCCTGGGCTGCTTATGGAAAGTCTGCCCGATTCATGGAGTTCTTACAGCAAACAGGAATGGGTGGACACATGGATGAGTACCCAACGAAGGAGTGAGTATATGTATACGGGGTGAAATAACCAAACTTCAAATCAAACTGCTGGAAATAAGTGTAGAATTATAATGGAATGATGGAATTTAACATACAACTACATTAATCAATCTCATATTCAGTTAGTGGTAACAAAGACTTAGACGAAATGGCTTGACTGCTTAAGTCTCAATAGCACAGCCTGGCCTTTCTGTGGGACAAACATTAGTAAGTGTACACCATTTCTTTTGTCTAGTAAACTGAAAGTGAGGGGAACTACTTATTAATAATTTCTCAGAAGTCAGGAAAAAACATCAGAAATGAAGTGCCAAGGAAGCATATGAAGTTAAGGCACCATTATTTACAACTTCAATAATTGGCACTTATTCTGAAAAAGGCTTTAAAGTCATGAATACCAAAGAGCAACGTTATTTTCCTCCCCTCTACTTCTTTAACTATTTAGTAGTTTTTAACATAACTACGTGTGGTTTGTGCTTTGCTTTTCGGCTCTGTGAATAGCAGCTGCAGTACATGCTAACACCCACACCTTCCCTTCCTTTGGTGTTGGTGAGCGTGCACAGTGGTAAAGGCTGTAAGGTGCATAAGAGGGAAAGAAATACACACTGGGTCAGTCTGAGACACGATGTCGAACAGGTGGCTCAAGTGAAGCTGTCAGACCAGACCCAAGCTATCACTCAAAAAAAGGATTTAAAACTTCACCAATTCAATATTGTTTTCAAGACTCATTCTAAATTTAGAGTTTGTAGCATTCTCTTAATGACTTTAAAACAGAAATAGCTTCCACAAATTCATACAAGTTAATTTTGTGACTCTTGGTTCATACAACAGAATTGCTGAAACAGAGCAAGTATAGTTTCTGTCCAAGTATAAAAAACACTGTACACCATCCACAATTGGGTATGTCTGTTCACACACATTTATAATAACCGGTCTTGCTTCTAAAGCTCAGAAATTTCTAGTTCACAAATAGGTCGCTGCAGTCAGTTGATACCACTTAACCGTCTCTTTACTTAAGTTGAAATCTTTCAGAGGCAGGGTTATTCCACCCAAGAAAAAGTTCTCCCGCAGGGATTCTGCACTGAGCACACTGAGCTGAAGTTCTCTCTGTTGTAAGGTCTCTTGGCTGTAGCCACTGTACACAAGCTAGAGCAGAGGGGAAATGAAACAGGAAGTTACTAGTTACATTAAAATAGTTTACTTTTCTTTTGCAATATTCTAAGTGAAGTGGGAATATTAGCCAAAAAGTGACCACAGATCAGTGACACTGATTACACACTCTGTCTCATTTCTTTAAAAGCCCATTTGTGTCTCTTATCACAAATGGGAGTCCTGCACTGTGTTGTTCTTCCTTTGGGTGGCTGGCAGACACAGGCATAGCACACACTTGATTTTTTTCTGAGATGGTGGTGATGAGAAAGGAGCTACAAAGAAGTACACCTAAGATGATGAGCTGGCTGGAACTGGTGGGAAGCAAGCGGGGAGAGCATTATTGAACTTGTAGTATAAAACAGGAGAGATGAAAATTCCCTTTGTCTTCTTTTTCTGCTAGATTTTATGTACCTTGAAGTGATGGTTTCTGATTATCAAATTCAAACTCATCAACTAAAAATGCAGTTAACGGCAAATCTGGAATATGGAAAAACTATTTCAAAACTCTTATCATAGTCTTTCCCTTGAGAAAGCCTCGCCTTAAATTCTGAGAAAGAACTCTTTAACCTAATCCAGTTTGATTACAGTGACTACAAAACCGAGAGCACAGAATAACTAGATCTTAAAAAAAAAAAAAGCCAATACTTTACAAAATTTTTCATTTTGTGGGTATGTTTGTTTTTTTTAATCATTTTATTGGGAGCTCTTACAGATATAACATTCCACAGCTCAATCACATCAAGCAGCATTGTATAATTGCTACCACAATCAGTTTCAAAACATGTCCTTTCTTCTTAAACTCCTTGATATCAGTTAGGAACCATTATTATTAGTAGTAGTATTTTTTTCCCATATCTTACACAATCCAATATATCCATTCACATACAGTTCTGTTGTTTGATCCCATCGAGTGGAGTTATACAGTCATCAATGTTATCAGCTCCCCATTCCCCCTCCCCCATCCCTGTCCCCCCATTCCTGTACCTTCAGGGAACCATTATTCCTGTTACTATTTCTGAAGGGTTATCTATCTTGAATTTCATGTACTGAAAGATCTTAAATATACAAATGAACAAACACAAATCTAACATGATGAATGAGGTAGAACACATAAAAAAACATAATAGCAAGGGGAAGAAATATTATTAAAGAACTAGCGGATAGCTATGTGGTTTATCAGTGTGATAGAGCACTCTCAGATTTATCATCCCTGTCATGTGGTCCTTCTGTGAGGGATTGTCCAATTCTCTTACAGGTGGGTTTTGGGTCTCTATTATATTCATGCCCCTTGACATTGATTTGGCTGCTTGTTTTTGAACTTCTGATACCTCTTCCCTTCAACACCTCATGATCACACAGGTTGGTGTGCTTCTTCCATGTGAGCTTTGTTGCTTCCCTGTTAGATGGCCGCTTGTTTAACTACAAGCCTTTAAGACCCCATATACTATCTATATATCTTTTAATAGCCAGGCACCATCAGCTTTCCTCACCACATTTGCTTATGCACCCTTTTTTTTTTTAATCGTTTTATTAGGGGCTCATACAACTCTTATCACAATCCATACACATACATCAATTGTGTAAAGCACATTTGTACATTCATTGCCCTCATCATTCTCAAAATATTTGCTCTTCTATGCACCCATTTTGTCTTCAGCAATCATGTCAGGATGGTGAGTATCATACAATGTCACAGTATTAGAACAAACTGCTCTTGCATTGAGGTAAGATTTAAGTAGAATCCCAAAGTCCATCTGAAAAACCCAATACTTTAAAAAAGGCAATATCAACATTCCATACACGTTTAAAGGAACTGCTATGGTTTTAAAATTTATACCCTTGATGAAAATTTAAAATTACTTGCTTCCATCTCTATCCAGACATTTTTGTGTGGAGGGGATGTAATATACACAATAATGTGGGCTATTCTAACTAAGTAGGTGAAGGGGGAGGAAAAAACAGAACAAAATCTTTGCAGGCTTTAATACATCTTTATGTTAACCAGGAGCATCTCAGCAAAAGCACAGTTCTTTTTCACATAGATGAATGGGTGCTTTACTTACTGCTTTTAGTTTTGAGCAATCTACTTTAAAAGGGGGGCTCTGGTGGCATAATCACACATTCAAGTGTGATTAACAAGATCAGCAGTTCAAAACCACCAACCGTTCCGAGGGAGAAAGACAGGGCTTTCCACGCCCATAAAGAGTTAGTCTTTCCTAAAGGGTCACTATGCATCAGCGTTGAATCAGTAAGTTAAGTTTAACTGCAAAAGGCCTGACAGACTGAACTATGTTTGAATGAGAATGACCAGGAATGAAGAATGATTTTGAAACCTTATTTTATGAAGTGAAGGTAAAGGTACTGAGGATGTTTTTAAAGCAGAAACAGGTATTTTAATTTTAATTACTGAAGGGCTGCCAAGTAGAAGATGGAAAAGAATAGCTCCGAAACATAACTCAGCCGCATGAGTGCAATCAAAGGGAATAAAGATTGCAGGTGACTGGGACAAAGTCAAAGGCTTGGAAGCATTTAAGCACAGAGTAGGGAACCATGGTTTGAGAATGTTATAAGTTCAAGTTCTAGAAGGATCATTTAATCATGATCTCTAAGATCTTTTTAAAACCTAAAGGTTTATGATTGAGGGTTTTCTTCTGCATCATTTTGTTAAATACCATTAGACAACTATTGAATTGTTTTTATAGTACATTAAATAATTCAACAACTGATAGCTAGAAAATTTTATTTTATATGATTTTAATAAAACCCAATAGATGTAAGAACGTTTTAGAACTAACTTTAACTTACCATTTCATTGAATGTTGGATTCCTCGTTTTTCGTGAAATTTTAGTTTTACGTTTGGATGTTTTGTGGGTATCTGGAAGTAGGTATGTTTTGACATATGGATTTGGGTCAGCCCCATCTTCAGTAACCTATAAAGAAAAGCAATCCCTGAATAGTAACACTTCCTACCGAGATAGAGGCTACTTCTGTAACCATCACTACTGGTAATCACTCACAAGATCTTTGATGTGCATCACCATGATGAAGAGAGTGCCATTTCTGTAAGACACAGATAGTTTCACTGCGCCTCCTACTTGCCCTGGAGGAGGACTGAAAGGACCTGCAACTGAAAATACAAATTCTATCATTTTATTTAATCCTATTTGTAATAGTTCAAACTTCATGTGCAAACAAAACAACAAAAAAAAGAACCTGGTTCATAATTGATTCTGATTCATAATTCTTTAATAATCACACTTATATTAGTTCTAGTATGCTTGTATAGAAATGCATTGGCTTAGAGAGAATCCCTTCTCAGTGACCACAGCCAGTCACTCCACTGTGACCCTACCACAGCTATAGACCTGCAGGGGAAAGGGAACAAATGAACTATGTACAAAAGGGAAGATAATCTCACCTGCAGACCTAGCTATTCCTTCGGCTTTCTCATCACGAAGTAATGGATGGAAAAACGTACAGATAAGATCACACTAAGAATGAAGGGAAACAAGAGAGAATCAGTTTAGAATGCGATGCAGCCTAGAGGGTGCAGAACACAGCCATTTGTCCCTCAGGAGGGTCACCTCTGCGACGTCAGCTGAAGCACTCATCAGACTCTGCAAATAGCTGTTTAACTCAATCTTCCTCTTGGCTGCTACGTCTTTTATGTGTGTTCTTCCTAGAACCATCCTGTTAGGAAAGCTACAAAAGAGAAAGAAAACCAAATTATCAAGTGAGATTTAGGTGAATTCAGCTGTAATATTTGTAGAGTCAAACACAATACTTACTTAGAAATATATTTTTAGAAATACTTGAATGCACATTGAAGCCTTAATTAACAATGTAATACTTTTGTACTTTATGGAGCATCTGCCAATTGTAAACTGACTCCAAATTATTATCTACTTTTGCTTATTATGATAAAGACAACAAAGTCAAAGCTTTAATTATCCTTCAAGAAAAGGTTAATTAAAGTACTGAAGACGAATAGCTCAGCTACCCATTATCCTTTTTTAATTAAATATTCTTATTGGGGGCTCTTACATCTCTTATTTAAAATCCATACATTCATCCATTGTGTCAAGCACATTTGTAAACATGTTGCCATCATCATTTTCAAAGCATTTTCTTTCTACTTAAGCCCTTGGTATCAGCTCATTTTCCCCACTCCTCACAAACCCTTGATAAAATATGATTATTTTCATATCTTACACCATCCTCTGTCACCCTTCACCCACTTTTCTGTTGTTTGTCCCCTTGAGAGTGGGTTATATGGTGAACCTTGTGATCAATTTCCCCTTCCTCCCCCCACCGTACCCTAATCCTCCTGGTATCTCTATTCTCATTGTTGGTCCTAAGGGGTTTATATATCCTGGATTCCTTGTGTTGCGGGTTCTTATCTGTAGCAGTGTACATGTTCTGGTTTAGTCCGATTTGCAAGGTAGAATTGATAGTGGGGGGTAGGAAACATTAAAAAACTAGAGGAAAGTTGTGTTTCCTCAGTGCTATACTGCACCCTGACTGGCTCATCTCTTCCTTATGACCCTTCTGTGAGGGGATGTTCAATTGTCTACAGATGGGCTTTGGGTCTCCACTCTGCCTGCGCCTCCCCCACCCCCCAACCCCATTCACATTGGTATGATTTTGTTCTGGGTCTTAGATGCCTGATACTTGATCCCATCGACACCTCATGATCACACAGGCTGGGGTGCTTCTTCCATGTGGGCTTTGTTGTCTCTCAGCTAGATGGTGCTTGTTTATCTTCAAGCCTTTAAGACCCCAGACACTATATCTTTTGATAGTGGGGAGATGGTGCTTGTTTATCTTCAAGCCTTTAAGACCCCAGACGCTATATCTTTTGATAGCTGGGCACCATCAGCTTTCTTTACATTTGCTTATGCACCCATTTTGTCTTCAGCGATAGTGTTGGGAAGGTGAGCATCACAGAATGCCGGATTATTAGAATAAAGTGTTCTTGTGTTAAGGGAGTACTTGAGTTGAGGCCCAATGTCTATCTGCTACCTTAATTCTTAACATATAGATATAAGTACATAGATCTATTTATCATTACATATAAATATATTTACATATGTACATGCCTGATTTTAGGCCTACCCATTATCCTTTTATGAGTTTTGGTACAAAGGTGCATATGTTGCTAATTTCCTATACTTAATATTACAAAAGGAGTCCTGGTGGCATAGTGGTTACCCATTGGGCTCCTAATCCCAAAGTCAGCAGTTCAAAATAACCAGCCACAAGGCTTTCTACTTCCATCAAAAGTTACAGTCTAGGGAACTCAAAGTGACAGTTCTACCCTGACCTATTGGATCACGATGAGTCAGAATGGACTCGATGACAGTAGTTTAGTTTGAACTTTAAAAAATGATACAATTTATGTATTATTATATAATTACTTGCTTATTCTATTATTTTATAATTTACTTGCTTACTTTTCCATTTATTTTTTGTACAAGTTTAATTATCCACAAATATTTTATCCAGATCTGATGTTTGAAAAAACAATTACACTCAGCCATTCATTTGCTATTACAGATACCAGTAAAATTCACAAATACTGCCATAAGGCCTATGTTATATGCTGAAATGATAATCTCAACTCACAGTAGCAAAATGAGACTGTACGGGGAAATAAACTCTGATACTGACTTTATTTCCTCTTTACTTTTGAAATCTATCTAGTGTGAGAAGAGTATGAGCAACTTGAGGCAGGAAACCTACAGGTTATTAAACTCCATTAAAACTAAAGCTTTCCAAAGGAAATCAACTACAAAACTAAGAACTAAGATTCTAATTAACAGTCTCAATGATAAGCTTTCCTCAATTTATTATTTTTTGTAAGGATCAGTATGGCCCATAATAAATTATTTCTGCAGTGATTTAGCATGTGACTTTCTGAAAACCAAGATTCCAAATGATCTTGTTATGCTTACTGTGGTAGAGACAAAACATTTTAATTTATTAAAATAAAAAATCTGAAAAACCCCAATTTTAAGTTTAATATATTCATCATTTATTCACCCAACAAGAACTTTTGGTGTGTGTATTTTTAGTAGTGTATTAGGCTCTTATGAAACAAAGGAAAACAAGTCATTGATTAGCCACAGTAACTTACTAAATGGTAACACAATGTTTTTTGAAAAAAGTGTTTCCTGTAAAAAAGGATTATTAATAGACAAGGATAGGAACATACCCTGGTAACTTCCACAGTGGAAAAATAATACTGAGTTTATTGTGAAGTTCTTGAAACTCGTCAAAAGTTCGGAAGACAAATGATGGTTCAAGCTGCCCTTCCCTCAAAATTCGGACGACATAGATCTGAAAAGAAATCACACCCAGACGCACATTGTGCTTATGATAAACCTCCTTTCCTGGCAGAAAGACAAATTTTAACTTAACTGTTTGCATAGTTTAAGCCCTTTTACCTTGGTAATATATATGTTATGAGTGGGAAACAGCAAATCTAAGTCATGTTTATAGCATATCTAATGACATTCTAAAATTGATTGTCATCATAGTAAAATGTATAATATGAAACTGAAGTCATCGTATTTCTAGGATTAAATAATTTACATACTTGCCAAATCTGGAAATGTATTTCTACTGAAAGTGTTCATTAGTAATCTCATCTGATAGGGTAATAGAGAAGAAAAAGCAAAGTTTACAGGGGCGGGAGGAAAAGTGAGCATTTCTTACTGGATATTTAAATTTTATAATTATATAACATAGAGTATGAAAACCAGAAGTAAATTGAGGATCTCTATAAACTTAATATCTATAAGGTAGCATTACAAACCATTGTGGAAAGAATGAACTACTTGATAATATGGTGTTAAGACAATTAAATATCCTCAAAGGTAAATCCCTAATCATGAAGATAGGTGGAAAAAGGATTGCTTATTGCTAAGGTTCTAGTTCATTTCAATCATAATGTGTTTAAATGTCTGTGGATGGCCATAGTAGATGAGTTCTCTCAGTAATATACTTGTTTAAGCATCATTAGGTACCTTCAAGAAAAGGGTAACACTTTTTGAGCCATGAAAAAAATATTTTGAGGTCAGGACTAATATCAAATTTTTAGCAAAATTCAAGTGGATATCTTCTCACGTCACTGAAGCTCTGAAACCAGTTAGTGAGAATGCTGCCCCTACCCCCCTACCACCACCATAAAACAAGTTTTGAGAAAGAGCAAGCATTTTAAGGACAGTTGGGGAAATATCAAAGATGAGCCAAGAGGGGGAAGACTATCGACCTTGGTGAATGATGGAACTGTGACTTCAGCTTCAGAGCTGGAGGAAGAAGACTGTAGCATTACTACTGATGTGCTAGCCACTGAAGCTGGGAACCTCAAAATGTTCAGCATCTTCAATGTCAAATGACCATCTTGGCCTTAGCTAGCCTTTGACATATGGGTGCCAACAGTGCTGTGTAAAGATCAGCTAGCTCAAAGAGCTGACCTATCAGTCCTGTAAGCAAGATCAAAACTAATAAAGACAATTTTCAGGACGGAATCGTAATTGAGGATGAGTCTTTGATTTAATAACCCAAGTCAGAGAGCAAAAGCCAATCAAATCCACAGCTTCTGAGGGGGATCTATTGGGCTAGCTAAATTCAAGGCAGAGGTCAGCTTATAAGGTCATTGTGCCTATTTTGGGGGAACTTCTAAGGGGTGATATTGACAGATTTCCTCAAGACACAAGATGATTACAGGGGTTTTATGAAGAAGTTTTAAGAAAATTTAAAGCTGCACTGGTGAGAAAAAGGCCAGGACAGTTGCCATGATGCTGTGTCCCCCTCATCATGACAGTACACCTGCCTATTCTACCCCATTTCCCTACCGCCCTGATCTTACCCCTTTAGACTTCATTTTTGGTTATAACAATTCTGTAAAAGCATAAAAAACCCAAAGGAGGTTATGTTTACTATGTGGTGTGGGTAAAACCTAGGAATAATACAAGCCCCAGAAATACTGCTTAAAATAGTTAGATGTGATAACATAAAAATAAAAAAAAAAATTCAACAGATTTGTAAGACAAATGATAGACTAGACAAAAACATCTATAGGACAAATGTTTAAGATTCTGCAATCAACAGAAAATAAGAACAGCAGCAACATTTAACATAACCATGGTCACAACATGAACAAGTGAAAAGTAATTTTCAATAGAAATAAAATATTCAACGACGTGTAAAAAAGATACTAAAATACATTAATAATAAAAAAGGTAAATGTATAGATAAAGTAGTGAAATGACTTTCCAAATCTATCCATTTGTAATAAAAAAAAGAAGGCAGTGTTAGAAGGTATCATCCAACCAAAAACATTAGCACAGGTGAAGACAACAGCAATAGAGAAGACGGTGCTGGGCAGTGGAGTGGGAAAAGGCACACTGGAGATTCTATTTTTATTGAAAAACAAACAAACAAACAAACTTTGTATGTGTGTCATGTTATACACGACACTTTATTTCTGGAGAGCAGACTGGGAACTTAGGCTTTTACTTTATATACTTCTGAACTGACTGAATTTATATAATGAGAAAATTTTACATTTGAAAAAGAAAGAAAAGGCAATCAGAAAATCTGAAAAATAAAAAATAGTCTGCTTGTAGTTTTGTCTTTGAAATGGCTCATTTCAAATTTACCAGGAATTAAGAATCAATAAAATACTGGGCTATGTACAGGACACTGGGGTAAGGCGGGGCCTGCGTGGAAGAACGAAGCCTGGACAGAGTACACACTTGGAACTTCGGCAAAGCCAGTGCAGGAAGCTGAAGGAGGACAAGCAAGTGCACGTGGATGTTTACAAGCTCAAACCAAACTTACGTAATGCTTATCTGGGTTGTATTTCTTGTGATATGTGAATACACAGACTTCCTTGATTCGACCATCTTGTCTGAAGGAGTATGTTTTGGGTGAAAAGGAAAGGATGGGCTCATCATTTGAAGGAAGACCAGAGAAACGCAGCTGAGCAAGGTTGTGAATGAAGAAGTTAAACTTTGTGGCGATGCTCCCCAAACTGGACTCAATTAGCCTAAAAAAACAACAACCAGAAAACTGGTTAAAAGTATATGACCATGTTCACATGCTCATGTCCTTGAATAGCACAAGAGATTTAAAATTTTTATTTCCTTCAAAAACACTAAGTGGTTTCATTTTCCCAATGAAGGGCAAAACCCATTAAAGTATGCCTCACCAGACCACAAAATTTTAGTTTACTAAACTTTCCATTCTACGTTATTGTTCCCACTGTAATGATGCTTGGTTTTTATTAGCCCTGTGGGGTCCAAAACTAACTAAAGAGCCATTAGGGATAGAAGGTGATTGGCACAATGTTAACAGGATGATTGTTTAGGGAAGTTCAGTGCGGTGTTTTGTACTTCTTCAGTGAAAGAAAAAAGGAAAGAAAAACTGGAGAAAAAAAGAACATGTGGCTCTCCTGTTATGGTACTGTGATGATGCAGCAGAGAAATCAGTGACCAGATCAGTGATCTGGTCACCAAACCTCGACTTGCTTTACAAACAATAAAGACAAATTCAATGGCCAGTCATTGATATATGCATTCCAAGTACTATGGTCTATAAAAACAGTTTACAATAATAGTGTCCCTGAGTTTGCTGTTTTAAGCATGTAAGATACAGATAGAAATTGTTAGGCAGAATCCTGAAAAATATATTAGTACAGGTATTCTTTTTTTTTTTTTCACGTATTCTTTTAGAAAGAAATATTGGAGAGGCATTTTGTACTACAGAAAACATCTTTCTTTTTTCCCCCCAGAAAATATCCTTCACGGAGAGTTAAAAAAAAAATAGATTTTCTGAATTGAAATAATATATTAACTAAACCTCAAAATATTTTGAAAGAAATAAAGCTATTTTTAAGTACTTTGGTAAATCCTTTATATTTTTTTCAGAAAACATACTTTTGAAAACCTATTTACTAATTGCTCTTACAAGTATGAATCCTGATCTTTTCTCTACACAACAGAATTTTGGCCTGGAATACCTGTTTAAGCAAAGGTAAAACAAATCAAAGCCAAAATCTATGAGCCTTCTCCAATCACTGACCTCGTAAAGAAAATGGTAGCTTCTGCATCTGTAGTTTGGGGTTGAAGTGCATCTCTAACATATTTCAAATCTTGAATACTTGTGAGTTCTGGTAACCCAGAAGGAATCATCTACAAAAGAAAAAAAAAAACAAAGTTTGGGGAATTAAATTAGGGTAAAAAAATCTGTTTACCGCCTTTCCACGTAAGCTGGTTAAGTCGTCAAACAAAGCAAAGCAAAGAATCGGTCTGAGAAATGTGCTGGGGTTTTGGAGACTACGTAATTTCTTACACAGGAGAAAACACACTAGGGAGGTGCTTTGTTGGAAGTCACAAGGCGAGACTTGTTCTTACTCCCATGTCAATTTCAGTCACAAGAAGCGTAGTTTTCTTTTTAAAAAATAGATACACACAAAAATCAAGAAAAGTTTAAAAATCTTAAGTATAAGAAGTATTTTGACTTTTCGGATTAAGGCATTTATAAGTAACCCAATTGTCCTACTCAGGCTCACTTGTCACTACTACCTCCACTCCAAGGCAACCACTTTACTGACTGATCTTTTTGTTCTTTACATAAATGAAGTCATAAAGCGTGTACATGGTCTGAATTCCTTCACATAGTATCAATTTTAAAAGATTCCAATAATAACATACCTGGCATTTGTGACTACAATCAATTTAAGAAATTTTATTTTAAAATAGCAAAATATACTTTAAAATATGCTTAAACAATGAGACATTAATGTATGATTAATTGAATGCTTGCAAAGAACAGTTACCAGTGAAAGGAGGTTAAGAAAGAGGTTTGTCTGCTTTCTTATCAAGTTGTAGGCCTGGCAGCAGAGGTCCACAAACAACTGGAAGCGAATGGTGGGCTTTTCACCCCCATTAATAACGTATGCCATATCTGATGTCAGCACGAAAGGGGCCCGATCCCTGTTTACCAAGAAAGTGCACAGACATTATTTACAAAAGCATCATGAAATGGTAGTACTGCTACTTAGTTGTTATTAATATCTTGCTTATTAAACTAAGTTATCTGAGTCATAGTAATTTCTGGCTAGCAAACTTGATCATTCTTCAGGCAGTTTTAAATTTGTGTAACTAAAAGAAAACACACACATTTCCCAGAAACCAGTATATTTAAAGTTATATGTGAAAATTTCTCCAAGGTGGTATTTATCAATCTATACACAGTATTTACAAATATATAAGAGAAAAACTTTGTATTCATTACCATTATATAATTTGGGAAATTTTCTAATACATATGGACAACTAAACAAAATAAAATACATCCCTAATTCATGTCAACAAAATTCCTCACTCTCGTTCACTCACTCACTCACTCACTCACTCACTCAAGTCTTCTACATGGTAACACCATCTTTCAGGGCCCCTTTCCTCCCCAGTCATAAGGTAAAGCACATGAAAAAAAGGGAATAGTAATTTATGAAACAGGAAAGACTTGTTTTCATAAGCAACAATAATAAAAAAACACGAGTACCTTTTGAAGCTACCAAACATCTGTGCATGGCCCAAGAATTTCCCGAAGTCGATGTGAAACATATGTCCTGTGCTTTTAAGCATTATATTGTCATTGTGCCGATCACAGATGCCTAACACATAGGTGGCTACACAGCACCCCGCACACGAATAAATAAAATTCTCAGAAGCCTGAAATAAAGATGTCAAGTTATTTTTTGGGGGAAAAAACCTTCCTTTAAAGGACACAGGCTTATAAAGAAGATGAAAATAATTTCTCTCTTTCAAAACACTATTATAGTTCCTCTCTCAATAGACAGATAAATTTGGTCTGGTAATAGAAGCCAGTCTTTTCATATCTCAAAAACAAAAACACCCTTCTGAAGATGCTAATGCCCTTCTTGCGAGCTTTTGCCTTTTAATAGGCAGAGATCTTTCCAGTCTGTACTTAGTGTTGCCTTTGAGCAGCTTTTAAACATGATGCACTTAAAGCTTGTTCCTCTGAAGCTATGTTACTCACGACTAGTGGTAACACTGAGATAAAGATTAACTGCAAAAAAAATGGTTTCCCTTTTTTTGGCTTGTCCAAAGGACATGTGTAAAGAAAGCTTATACCTTAAAATATCCAATAATACAATTAATGCATTTTGTGTTCCATGTAGTGATTTCCCCTATGTATAATCTGTAAGCTTCCAAAACAGAGACATTTCATTTTTTAAGTCAAGCCTATCCTGGTAATGACTAAAATTACTAATATAGTAGCTTACAGAGAAGAAAACAGTGATATGCATGTAATGAGTATTTTTTTTTTTTCCTTTTTGACACATTTTAAATTTATTCTCCTTTTTATTTTCTCCTGTCCTTTCTTTTTTTTTT